GCAGACAGAGTGTTGCGAGTAACGCGACGACACTTCCCATTTTGGTTCGATCCGGCGTACTCATATGCTAATCAATTTGATGATTAGATAAATCAGAGTTGGAAGCGTCTATGTGTAGCGCGGAGATACAAACTTCGTTTTATCTCGTTACAATACTACGTGACTCTTAAAACGTCTGAAATAGTGTAACTTTATCAGCTCAATAGTCACGTTATGTTGCGACAGTTATTTTAGTACATTCAGTTACTAATACAAATAAGTGATTGTTTATACATTAAGAATTAATATGTCTAAAGTCACATTATAGTCAATTACCTTTTGTTAACATCACGATCAACAATAACAGTCACATTAATCTCAATAGTTAAATAAATTTCATTCGCTTTATTATCAGTAATTATGAACAATGTATAAATAAAATATTCAACGTTCTATTATTGAATGAATAAAATAACGTCTTTTCAAGATTATATGAACCGGTATTTATAAACTTGCAAAAGCTTACGTACAGTCAAGCAAATATTATCCGAAGCTTTATAATTGATTAATAATTCATTGCTGTACGCTGTATTGGCTTGCCAAGCTAAAGATCATTAACATACTTGCTAATTGTCTTTCTTAATTCATTAAAAACATGAGAATTAATTGTTACTATATTAACTTTTAATATTTTTCTCGAAATGACTTCATTATTTGCTTTAGATGATTTGATAGCTATTGAAATTTTAATGGCTAAATAATGATTTTTTAATTGATCAGATAATCGTTAATCTTAATGATTCAGCGGAGTCAACAAAACATATAAATATTTAACGAAAACAGAAAAAGAAAAGCCTCAAAGCCTCAAAATGATGTCTTCTAATATCTTCTTATTCTGTTTTGTTATATTTTCACACATTTTGACTGTTTGTAAGTAGAATTTCAATTTATTAATATTACTTATTTTTTTCCTTTAAATTTGTTTAAATAATTGATTTCAGGGACGACATGTACAATCAATACGGTGGAGGAAATTACCAACTATTCACCAATAATATTGAACAGAAATACTTTCATTTATCCTGAAAGACAATCCTATGATACTATAACGATCAATGATAAACAAATGCACAATATTTTCTGTTCCGATAATTTATTTGAACTTTATTCATCAAAATTTAAAACATCTAATGCAACCTTTACATGCAAGGATAAAACGATATTTATAATGGGAAAGGAATTAAAGACTTTTAAAGGAATTCGTTGTTCACAAGCATACACGTTTAGTACTAGAAACGTAGGCATTTGTCCCAACGGACAACACATCGAAATTGGCTTTCAATTAACAGAAAAAATATTTACATCAACAATTGACTTATGCTTTGACCATGATAATGGCAGAACGCCTTGGGCTCATACGATCATTCCTGGATCTATACGTGGCAGAGGAAAAAACGGAAAAAGACCAATGTTCAAAGCCGAAAACTATTGGAAGTACATAGCAGTTGTCGACGCTTACAACGTAAAATCGCAAATACAGCAATTTCAAAACATTTTTGAGGAAGATCAATCATTGGTTAAACGTTACATAAAAAGCACAGGTAAAAATTCTAATTAGACAAACAAATATAAGTAAAATTTAAATTTACATTTTTTATATATCTTCAAAATGTCGTAGATGACTATTTCTTTTCACGGGGCCATCTCGTTGCCAATGCTGACAAGTTCTATGATATAGAACAAGAGAGTACCTTTCATTATATCAACACACTACCAATGTGGCACATCATCAATAGTGGCAACTGGTTAACAGTCGAGAAAACAATCAGAAATCTCGCGAGTGACAATGGCGACGTGCACGTTTGGGTCGGTGGCCTCGACAGTCTCACGTTGCCAGATGCCTCCAACGAAAACAAACTCATTTATCTTGCAAACCATCAAGTTACCAAATTACCTGTGGTTATACCACCAAAATTTCTTTTTAAAATTGTGTATCATGAACCTACCAATCGAGCTATGGTTTACATTACGATAAATAATCCTTATCTGTCATTCTCAAAATTACCAAATGAATATAGACTTTGTCAAGAATATATAAAGTGTCAGGAAATTACGACAAGTTTTAAAACTATCAATCTTGGCTATACATACTGCTGTTTATACGATGATTTTATGAAAGGTATAGCTTCTTATAATATTGGACTACCAAACTTAGAAAAGACGAGTCCTTTCTTTTAAATTAATCTATATTAATAGATTTTATATAATTATATATAAAATTATATTATTATATACGTTATATAATTAGCAATAAAATCAGACGAATGTAGACAATGTACATTATTTTATATTTTATTTCTGCATTTATTCTTGTCTTGCCTATAAGCATATACACATCACTGCTTTTAAATGAAAAAAACTTTATCTACCCATAAAGAAATAATCTATAATCATTATTTTTTGAAGACAAACATTGACAAAACATTAACTGTCTTAGTGGTAAAATCAAAGTATCTATTTTATTTTATACTAGAAATAATTTACCTACTATCTGTAATAGAGGTTCAAAACTTTTAATAAAAATAAAGTGTACGTTTTCCGCAAAATCCAGTGTACTGCACCACCCATGCTTACCATGAAGGAAATTGGATTTTGTCTTGATAAAGTTACTCGCAAATTGGAAATTTCAATTGGCATCGCAACAAATTTTTTTTTCGTCGATTGATTTGTGCGACTACGATGCAATGGACCGGGCCACTAATGCCCATACAGTGATTCCTATAAAAGGCAAAGAATATTATATGAAAAGATTCAATTTTAAATATTATGGATGCACGAAAACGCATTTCTTAAGCTTATAAAATTCAATCGTAAAAATAGCATCTTACAGATTTTTTAAATAAGTGTAAAAAGTTCCTTGGCTGATGATTGCAAATAAAATTGCTACTATTTTTTATCAGATTTTGACTTGGACTTTGATATGAATAAATTAAATTGTAAAAATTTTACAGGCAAGTATTTTATTGCAAGTGAGTATCTCATTGTAAAAATAGGTAAGTTCTATAAGTATGAGCAAGACTGTACCTTCTATTATATCAGCGTACTACGAGATTGGTAAATCATCAATCTTAGTATCTAGGTCATCGTTGAAAAAAAACCAAAACTCTTGCAAGTGACTGTGGTTCTATGAACGTATGAGCTGATGATAGTCTTTACGATCCAACTTTATCAGATAGCACAAGTAAAAATAAACTTTTGTCTCACAAAACATTTTAAGACTAATGTGCCTATCGTCGTACCACAAATTTTCTTTTCAAGTTTATTTACTATACTTGATCAATCGACTTATCAATAATATATATATATATATATATATATATATATATATATATATATATATATATATATATATATATATATAATATGATATATTACGATAGCCTATATTAAATAATCATCGCATAGTATTTTCACGATATTTGAAAGAATATAACATTTGCAAAGTGTTCTAGGGATGTCGCAACAATGACGTAAAATTCAATAATATAGTTTGAGGCTATACTTGTAGCTACTACAATAATTTTATTAAAAACAAACTTAATAGTCTTCCAATTCTGTGTTATAATACACGATTTCTTAGAAAAGTGACGTAAGGCGCACTTCACGAGTCCTTATCTCCTTTTTCATTTCTTATTATATTGATTAACATATTTAACATAAATTTTTTCAAAGGTGGATATTTTAATTTTTTTACAAAATCATTTTACATTAACCATGTTCGATCCAATCGGCTTACGAATAAAATGCTTGAACATGTAACCCATCACTTTTTTATAACGGAAACGAGATGTTTTTTTGTCCATTAATAGCTAGATAGATCTATGATAATATATCAATCTCGTTATTCATCGATTTGTTCAAGATATTTTAAATGAGTAAAAATAATAACAATGTTACACTAATTTTTACTATTACTTGTTCGTCTACTGTCAAAATTTGTTTTCCAATTAAGATATCATAATATAATAATATAATCATATCATTATTAATATTATTATTGATCCACATTAAATTAAATTGAGTTATATTTTTTATGTATCATTTTTTATGTATATATATCCTTTTTATAGCGTTATTATTCTTATATTATTTATTATATAATCATTGATATTAATTATAATTAATTAATTCAAACTTACTCAAATTTATTGTAGTAAAAAATTAATGCAAATAGTTTTGCATTGAATGTCTGCAACACCGAAATAACTTTATTTTGCTTTTAAAGTTTTCAAGTTATTTTTTTTTAATTTTGATATTTCCATGTAATAATTGGTATGGGATTGAATAAAACATATCTCGAATTCACTTAATATGTTTAAAAGACAAACTGTGTATTTCGTACAGAAAATTTGTTACTCGACCTCACCTGTTCTTGTAAATTAATTAAATTTTATCTATCCATCTAAAGAGATACCAACTTCGCTATTCTTTAGGAACAAATAATGCCAATGAATGGAGATACGTTCCAAACATATGATGATAGTTCAAATAAGATTAATATTTAAAAAAAGTTGACTTCATAGAAAATATCGTAATATCACTTACAACTAACTGAAATATTACGCCAAACGTTTATGATTTTATGAAAAATAAACTTGCAAGTAGTTTAGTCTACTTTAGTTAGATAATCCGTTACTTTTTATGCAGATCAGAACGGATAGTCTTACGTAATTTTAAAATTCAACATAACTATGAATAGTAGATAACATACATTTACTATAATAACTTATTATGAGTATTTTTTAAATCTTTCTCATCATTTACAAATCCACCTATCTAATTTTAAGTAAAACACAAAATATACTGCTAGTTGCTTAAAAGAAGAATTTTCAATACCTTATCGTAGAATTTCTCATCTTCGATTAATAATTATTACTCCCTTCGAAATTCGATTTGAAAAAAAAAATGGTTTTCTTCTCGTTAAACAGAAATTCACAAACCGCTTGTTGGTCGTGTTACAGTTGGCGTACTCGATGAAAATTGACTACGACATGATGAACGTGCCAGGCTACGGTTCAGGTCTGATGGCATTGCTACCGCCGAAAGTGAACATCTCATCGAGAGGACTTGTGCCGACACAGCAGCAAGTTTTCGCGATTAGGCTGCCCTGCTCCGGCCTCGAAAGTGCCGAGATCAAACTCTCGATTAAGTTGAATGTTACCGCTCCTCCAGCGTCTAAGTACCAAGATATATCTCTCGTTTTCAAGAGGAATAAGATCTGCATGAAGGGTAAGCATCAGTCTGTTTTTCTTTCTTTCTCTTTTTTATCGTAGACTCAAATTTAACGAGTCAACTGAATACCGCGTATATATTAATTAAGTAAAATTATGTCGATTGTACACGATTGCGCATAAATACGGAAACTAAACGTACTTTACGTTTCAAAGCTGCTAGTTTTATTTGCAAAAAATGATATCCTTCGATAACTCAAGCTTTTAATATTTGAATTCGATAAAAATTTGATTATGACATGCAATTACTTAAATTTGTAAGGATGCATTTCATTTCAGTTTGAGAAGAGCAACTTTTTACATTAAAACTATCATAATATTCTCTGGTTCACAAAATATCTAAAGTCACATTACCAAATTAAACTTCTCCTGTTATACACAAGTCTTGCTTTTAATATTAATATTCTATTTAAGCGTTTTCAATAAAAGCCATATATTTATTTCCCTGTTTACATAACGTAAGCAAAACAGTAACAAGCTCACTCGAGAAAGAGACGGAGAGGGAGAGAGAGAGAGAGAGAGAGAGAGAGAGACTACGTAGTGCTAATGAAAATTTCCGCGGTAACAACATAGCCTACAATTAAAAGCTCGTCAACGAGGGTAAAAGCAATATACCTTTCATTAAACGTCCAGGTAGCTAAAAAACGCCTGTGGAGCCTAAAAACTTTTAATAAGCCATCCTGTGGTCGAGAAGTCACGTACAGGCTGAGAGAAAAAAGCTTGTCATTGGTATTCGATTACATGAGAGAGAGAAAGAGAGCGAGTAGAGTGATCCGTCGTAGAAAATAAAATCTCGCGGGTTTGGGTGAAAGAGAAGATTTTTTGCAACTGCGAGATATACACAATAAGAGCAGTAGCTAACAGCAACGCTTTATGAAGTTCGAGAGTCGCTTCCGCATCTCTTGCGCTTGATAAAAGGAAAGAAATTTCAGCCCGGGCGCGCGCTATTGGATCTTGTTACACGCTAGAGTGGCTGGAAAATTTGCCGTGCATGCGCGCTACCCGCCCTGGGGATCGAGCAGTTGGAACTTGCAACTTTACTGGGCAATTGTTTTATATGTCGATGTCTTCCTTTTTTTCGATTGCCTTGCCAGTCGTACTAAATTTTTCTCGTTTTGCACTTTGAGCTTTCTAATTTTTATAAATTAAATTTGATACTTTCCAAGTAGATTGAACTTTTGTATAAAATTGGATGATGCGTTGTGCTGTTGCAAAGCGTTGTCTTGATTTCAGTATTGTAGCTCCGTTGTAAATCTTAACTTATGGCATTTCACTTTTAAAAATATCCAATATTTAACAAAAAAGCTTGTAGCAAAACATTTTTTGTAAATAATTAACTTTCAAATATTTATTTAAAAAGAAGGTACACTTAAATAAATATTTTATGAGGCTGACCGTTAGGTTATTGCTGACTTGTTCACGATTTATTGGCCAGTTTAATAAATCACTCTGAAAAAGTCGGTGCCAAAAGCAGATAGAATATTCAATTTTTTTTATGAGCAATGCATTTATTCTATTTGAACTGTTTACTGACCAATACCCTATCAATTTTTTTCATCGTAATAAAAAGTTAGTGTAGCTGAAAAGCTCAATATGTTAAGTTAGAATTATTGACAAATTATTTGATGCAATTCTAATAACATTTTTTAATGTAATTCAAGTATATCGTGTTGAAAAAAAAAGTTCGAAACAACTAAATACCCTCAAACACTTCTCAAATCTTCAGACGCATTCTGAAATAATAAAAACTAAATAACCAATTTTCCAAGACAAACAGTCAAACAATGCGCGTCTTTTTTTCCGTGTTCCACGGTGTTTTTATTACTTTCACGCTTGGCACGCGCTGCACCGCTCCGTTATAAGAGCGTTTGTGCGCTTGGCAGTCGGTCAGATTTATACCTTCTCTCCTTTCTTATATTGGCGTACTATTTTCTTTCTACACGAATTTCCTTGAGACTTTATCAGTCGGTAATAATCGAATGCATAGAGCGTCTAATTCTTCTTAAGCGTCCAAATCACAAGACATGTGGTTACTCCCTCCCCCTTTTGTAGGTAAGCCATTGGTGCGCGCTTGCGATAAAGTACTAACACACCGGCACCTAACGGGATGGTGGATCAGCACATACGCTTTTTCTCTTCACTTTCCCTCTCTCGCTGTCTCTCTCTCTCTCTCTCTCTCTCTCTCTCACTCTTCCCTTCTCTCTTCCTCTCTTTCTTTGATTGAGAGCAAGCGCCAGCTATTACGTTGGCTTCGTGTTCTCTCTTGTTCCAATCTCGCGGGTAAAGAGGGAGAGAAAGGTATTAGGATCTGAAGGATTTAGGACTTCTTTTTTTCTCTCCTATTGGTAGGAATCATTTTTTCTGTTTTGATAAGATGGAGGATTTCGTCAGTGCTGTGTATTGCTACAGATGCCGACTTTCATTTTCGATAATAATACAAGGATTTGGCTTTAGATTGCTTCAAAGGTTCTTATTCTAGCGCTTTATTGTGGATTAGAATGACATTTTTGATGGAAGAATTGCGAAAAATGTACATCATTTAGACATTTAATTGGACTTTATGTAATTTATTAAAAATAGTTGTTATTTCAATTACAAATTAAATATAGTCATCTTACATATTCATTATATTAACTACTCACGTGATAACATATTCACTGCGAATTCATAGTAGTACATCGGTGTTCCCAATTTTCGGAACACTCGAGACTACATTCTGTAAACTTTCCACTGTACATATATAAGAGAATCCAAGAGCAATATTGTTTGGTTGCCAAGAGAGCCACGAAAAGTTATAATTATTGGTAATATCTGGACAAAGATACATATCATTGGTTACCTCATCGGCATATACTTCATTAACTCCTACGAAAGCTGTTGCTCGATTACTGATTGGATCGTGTATAACTTTCCAAAAAAATCGTGGAACTGGCAAAACTTTGATACTTTCGTTGCCGTATAAGTATAACATTTGATCATTGTTATTGATGTCCTTCAATGTTGTAATTCCGTGTACTCCAGTGTAGACGACTAAATCTATTTGACGCGATGCCGCTAATTTGCGTACGCCATTTTCAAGATACATCCAATTACCCGTATTAAAACTTCCCCATTGTGGATTAGCGTTCAGCAGCCAGAAAGTAGCAGATTGTTGTGCACCATATACAAAGTCAGACTTTGGTGTAAGGTGTCCTCGATAAAAAGATTGCCACTGATTTGACAAATTCTCCTTATCGTAGTATATATACTTTTGTGCTAACTCTAGAGAATTAAGTAGTGTTCCTACTTGCTGAAGTTCAGATTTAAAAGTATATATTTTGTTTATATTAAGACCTGGATAAAACGTACCGTACTTCCATTGTGGTCTTTTGTACCTAGTTTGCATATTATTTATTTGTTTAATCAGAATATGTTTGGAATAATACGTTCTATAATTAATCTCATCTCGACAAACTTCTAATACGTTTAAAAAACTATTTTCGATTTCAAAGCCAATGTGATATTTTTGGTATTTACCAAGACAAAAATCATTAGTTTTCTTTACACTTTCTTCTGGTAGCCGTTTACACTTGAAAATATTGAATGAGTAAATCTTCGATGAAACTAAAAATTGCTTATCCTTTACGCATGAAGCTCTTAAGACTTGGGTTGGTTCAAAACTATCCAAACTATTATTTACTCCTGGACAAGCAAGTACAATCGAGGTATTACTAGGGATGATTAATAATTCTTTTTCACTTGGTATTACAAATGCTGGACTCTCTGTATTTTTAAGAATTAAAGGCTGAGGTTCGGTTAAATCACCTTTGAGAACATTTATCGAGATACGACAATTTGTCTCTAGAAAACAAAAGAAAAAATTAACATGATGAAGTTTAAAAAAATAATCAAACATCAATGTTAAATCAAAATATAAAATAATTGAAATACGCTACCTTTAATGGGTATAGCCACAATCACAGTTACTTTAATGAAAAATAGAAAAAATTGATACATATTATTCTCTGATTTAAAAAAAATATAAATTAATTGTTTAGTTTTCAATAAACTACTAGATGAATCAAAATTTTTGTCTTAATTCTGAAAAAGAAATCATCATATTATATAATTCTTCTTCAATCTTCACAAACTAAATCTTAGCAATAAGCAAGACAACTGATGTGTCAAAAGAAACTTGTACTATTTTTACAATGCAGAAACTATTATCGTTCTTCCACAGCAAGATAAACTGGAAATACTTCGATAACGCAACATACCTCTTTTTCATCTGGTGCTCTTCTTTTATGAGCTGTGTCATTCGTGAAAATCACTCGAATTCATATTAAAGACATCATAACTGTGTTATATTATCCTCGGTATTAGTGAAGGTTATAAAAATGCTTTTACAGCTGTTACTACAATGTTAATTTTCGACACAGCTTAACGCAGTCACAAGTCTAAGACTATCTTTCATGACATGCAAAAACACAAATTTATGTTCCTGAGTACTTTGTTTACTACTTAATAACTGCCTTATCATTCTTGCTGTCGCAATTATACACTCTCATTCAAAATATAAAAAAAAATGGAAGATTAGAATATAATAAATGAATATATTTTTTTGTCAAAAATATAAATCTTGTTTATTTATTTTTTTTTTCGAAATATTGTTCAAATTTATTGACAGTTCAAGTCAATCTTTCCAACTTCTAGAATATTTGAAAATGTCATTCGTAAACTTTTCACTGAGCATGCATAAGAGATTTTTAATTCAATGTCATTTGTTTGCCAAACACGTAGCTTTATTTCTATTTTCTATTTCTATAGAAATAGAAAATAGAATTGATACTGATCATATTTGAAATCGAAAACATACATATCATCGGTTATCTTATCTTCACAACCTTCATTTACTCCCAAAATCATTGTTACTCAATATCATTGCTCGAATATTAAATTTGTTTTCTCAATTATTTCAGTAAAAATTATATCATTGGTTTCGCATACTTGTCCAAATTGATCAACATTGTAAATTTTATATTTTACCAGTTAGCTTAGAACTTAATTTCTTTTATATATTGGTACTAATCATTATTTAAAGTGTGTAAGAACGTTGACGTACATAGCTGCCTTCTCCGTGAAGTGAAATAAGTGTTCGTATGTAACATTTTATCGACTAGAGATCTTGTGTTACACAAATTATTACTTCCATCTAAATGCCAATTTGACCGAACCAAAGTAAAGTCACACGAACATATTGACAAATTTTCTTTATATTTAAAAGTGAGAATTACTTTTAAATTATTATCTGATATATGCTCTATATGAAGCCAATAAGTTTCTCTTCTATTCTACACTTTGAAAAGTAGCTCAAAATAAGACTAATGAAAAAGTATCAATCAGCTAAAAAAGAACAACTAAATCAGAATAATTCACACGAATTTACCGAGCAGTCACATTTCTCTTTTAATTGGAAAATTTTCAGCTTGATGGGGTAGAAGAACTAGAAAATTCTCGGTATTTTTCCTCTTTCTCTCTCTGGCAATTTCGTGTAGAGCTAGACCATTGCGCGACAATATCCACAGCCGTTTCGCGCGTTAATCCGACCCCAGCTTCGCACAACCACCGACGCCACCAACGTCGCCGCACCTTAATTTTGTCGGACTGCTGTAAATCTCAGTTAAGTTCGCGACTCTGGGTTTTTCGCGTCTTGACCTTGTCGAAAGCTACATTCCATTCCGGACGGACAATTCGTTTAACACCCTATCAAAGGAATGTCGCACGTGAGAATTACAGAACGAACCTAGTCGCGGCACTCCTCGTTTCAGCTGACACGTTATATTGCTATAGAGCGTCGAAGATCGCTTAACTGCATGTCTGAGTTGGAACCGGGTTGTCTAGAATTTCCGATGGCACATTGTTTGCACTGTAGAATTTCCCATAAGTCATAGTAAGCTTTTTCTTTGAGTACTCAATATAATTTGTAAAGACTAGCCTCCTGATGAAGATAATGATAGATCAATATTTTTATCGAGCAATATTCAGTCTTTGACTACTCTGTTGCTAAAATTCGAAACTACACAAAATGTTCGCGATCAAAATGCTTCCAAACTCTAGTAAATTTTAGATGATTATGTATTTCATTATGTATGACAATTATTGTTGATAATGAAAATTGATAATATTGCTAGAAATAGCACTGTTTTCAGTAACATATTAGTATCGTGAAGGCTGAAATGACTGGTACCTTAAGATGAGACTAGAAATCGATATTAAAATTTTACTGCAATCGTAATTTGATTCCGTTAATATGTAAAAGCTCTGTAGTATTTATATCTCCGGAGCATTTTTAAAAATTAATAAAAGTCATCGCTGGAGCGTAAAACAAGCTTAACCACGACACTTGTAATATAAAAGGAGGAGGAAAAGCGAACGCAATCTTAGCACTAAAGTTCCTTGCAAAGTTAACGAAGAGCAACTGGTCCCTCGTCAAAAGCTCCGTTCCTGCTGCCCGCCTCATTAAGACGTGCCTTTGTCGAAGCTGCACTGCAGTGTCCTGCAAAGTTCTCGCAATTAAACAATTATTCTTCTTTTTTTGTTCCCTCTCCGTTTTCCGCTGGCTAACTTTCACAAAGGCTTTTGCGCACGAAACATCTCATAATTTCTCGCCTCTTCGGTAGCCACGAGGGACTCGTCCCCGCGGCGATTTATTTAACTTCTCTCTTTTACGCCCGAAACCTTTTCTGCCGCGAGTTATTTACTCGACTGCGCTTCGATCTTGTACTGAGGAACAAAAAATGAGGTCGATAAAAGGAGAGTGAGAGAGAGAGAGAGAGCATGCAAGGGTTTTCGAGCCTCTGGCGCGGGATAAAGAAAAAAGGAAACGGGTCACAAAAGGGTTTCTACCAAGCTTCGGGAAAATTAATAATACTGCTTGTAGATGCACGGACTTTTTCTTATACTCTCTCCTTTTTCTTTTTTTCATTTTACTTTGAAGAGACGATGCCGAGTTCTACGACTCGAGTGAACGAGGCGAGCAGCGGCAAGTGAGAGGTAATATCGAACTGATTGAAATTCTTCTGGTCTTTTGAGGGAAAATATTTAATAAGGAGTTTCCGACAATCGGAATTGTCTTTCCAGTCTTTTATTGTGCTATTGAACATTCTCTGGACTGCCGACAAACTTATGAAAGAATTGAACAATTTTACCAGTTCGTTTTTTTTCTTATTAATGAACATTCTGCAGCTGCTCGTTTCATAAATTACAGATTGATCCTTGTTTACTAATTTTGTCTTTCTCTGTAGCTGAATACTCGATTAAAATATCGAGTCTATATGTATATTGCAAGACAAGCTTCATAATGGACAAAACTGCACGACACAAGAAAGCAATTTGCAGGTGTAACGCGTGAAATGGTTTGCCTATACGCCAACTGCGTTCGCTTTGACGTTGAATTTTCGAAAAAATAATTTCGAGCAACAAGTCGAATTGAACTTTCCAAATAAAAAAAAAGTCGAATATGCCTAAAAAACTGAATTGTAATCTAAACCTTACATATAATAGCGGAGGAAGCGACGCTTCGACGTTCATTGAAAAGAATTTAACTTTTAATGGTTTCCGTGGTGAAAAAAAGAAATTTCACTAGCCACAAATGAATACGCATGGGGCGATCTCATTAAAAAAGTCTGCGCATCGTCTCTCCAACAAAGAAATAGCCAAACTAAATGAATCCTCTCCCCTCTAGCCATCGACGAAAAAAAGTAAAGAGAATCACGTCAAGCCGAGACAAAGTATATATATCTTCAAAAGGTATTCCAATTCTGTTCCCACCTCTGGTCCCGGTTCGCCCTTTCCTATTAAAAATAACTATACCATAAGAATCCACGAGGTATCCTCTTTCCTCGTCATTTGCCTTCGATTTCGTTTCCAGAGAAAAACGATATGAGCGCAAGAGAGATAGAATGAAAGTGCGGAACTCGTTAGAGAGTGGCACGAGGGAAAAGTCTTTGAGTGCCCGCGCGCGAAAAATCCATCGGCACGCCTGGACACAAAGGTGTACCGATCAAAGCGTCAGCCCGAAAAACTTTTCCTCGTCCGCGCCTGAAATTCTCTCCCCTTTGCTATCTTTTTATTTCTATCCCGATCGTTCGCTTGGCCTTTGAGATTACACATTCCAAGGCGATTTCGAAGGCTTTTTTCAGCGTTCTCCTTTTTCCGGATTTGTTGGAATCTTTTCTACAAGATGGCTCTTGACAGAGACTTTTGCAGTTTAGAAGCGTTATACTTTGTTACAAACGTCGAAAGTTTAGTTTTTGCGATTTTTTTCGTTGATAACAAGAACAACAGAAAAAATGTCAGTAAAAAAAAGAAAGGTTTATAGAAACAAGCAACACCGCTGTCTGATTTCATTAACAAGAGAGCGTCCAATTTTTTCCACGTTGCGTTGTCCTCTTCAAGATCCACTCGTGTAGAATCCATGACTTCCAGGATGCATCTCTCACTGATAAGTAACCCGTGACATTTAACCTAATGTCGCAGTCCTTGTAATTGTTTCGAGCCAATAAAAGCTCCTTATCTTTCCAGCCAACCACATTACACTTTCGCGAGCATTAAGCGTTATCTTGCGCATCATTATCATATCACACCCGTGCGCGCGTCGCACTTACGTAAAATTACCATGGAGAGACTGCGGAATCGCAGGCCGAAAAAAAGCCATTATGGATATAATCTGGTTGATGTTCGCAGGCATCAGTACGCAATCGAAGAACGACTCGGTGAAACTGGAAGCAGGACCCGGTGTGGCGAACGGCAATGGCTCGTTCTACATCGCGGCCACATGCGCTTGCGCCCTTATCCTACTGATCGTAAGCGTGGCCAGTGCTTTGTATATACGTAACAGTAAAGCAAGATCACAGCATCCAAGGTAAGTCCTTATGTGTCCCTTTATTTTTTTCTCTCTCTCTCTCTCTCTCTCTCTCTCTCTCTCTCTTCTTTAAGCTTTTGGCGGCACGTGCTCTCGAGGGTTGCATCGTAGCTTTTTATGCGATGGGGAGCGATTGAAAATGCTAATTGGATGGGTTGTTTTAAGAAAATAGAGGTGGTGGCTGTGTGCTTTTTGCTCGTAAAAGAGGATGTTAAGTGTCACGTTAGAGATTCAACTTGATATAAGAGGAATGAATGACATGAGAAAATCATCGAGTAGTTTATGCAGTAATTTTCAATTTCATAAGTATATTGTGTTCTTAAAAAATATTTAAATCAATTCGTCGAAGTATTTGGAGATATACTGTTTTAGAGTTGCACATCGTGTTCCGTTTGCAAAGTTAATTGCTTTTTAATGCGCGTTTTATTTCACCTATATATACAGTATCATAATCCTTGCAGCATCATTTATATACAAAATTGATTTTGTCCATTTTTCTCGTGACATTTTCTCCTAATTCTACAACAAATGTCATTGCTTTATTAATCAATGGGACAGCAAAAGGAAGGGAGATTCGATTTACTAAAGTACACACGGAGTAATCATTTTCTTTTCAAGTCAAAAGATCGTTAATTGTACGCTGATCTATCAATGAAGACACATAATTTTGTTTCTTGCATTTTAGGAATAAAACTACACATTTTTTCGACAAAATAAATAAAAACTAGAGTTACTATGCTATATAGTCAATCGTACGAGAATTCAGAATATGATGTTTTTGAAAAAAAATTCAATTTTAGTCGATTTACTTCTTTTATGTCTGAAGAGATACACAATGCTTCTTCAAAGTTGCTAATCACTGATATTCAAAATTTGTAAAATTATTGAATATTTCTTGTTACTAACGACTATCATTGTTTCTAAATTAAAAAAAAATACATGTCTTTACAGTACACATGTTTTTAAAGTATTTCTTCGTCAGCGAGCAAAGTAGATATTTTAAGATAACGTAATCAGTTGAAATTGACGAAGTAAACTTTGTATTTTTTCTTTTTCCGGTTGTCTTCAACTTGTGAAAAATTAATTTTATAGATCTAACTTTACAAATTGAGAACTTTTAAAAAGACTCTTTTCTCCTTTTTTCTAATCTAAATCATAAATCCTCGGATATTTACAATACTATAATTCATTATTGAATAATCTAAGAAATAAAAATGAATATTCTCCAAGTGAAGATAGAAACAAGCATTTATATGGTGACAGCACTTAAACCTACAAAAAAAAGAAGAATTATCCACAGCGGTATACTTAATTATGACACTCCGCAAACAACCACCTCACAACCCAAACATACACGCACAATCTGCCGTCATATCCCCATCAAACATCTTTAGCCTCGCGCCCCCCTTACACTGTCGTGTACCTAATCGCTGCAAAATAAACACGTCTGAAATAGCCTTCTTAATCAAGAGCAAGTCTCTCGAATAGAGTCTTTCCACTTAAGTAGTCACAAGCAAAACAGGGTCGACGATATAAAAAAGAAAATAAAAAAAATAAAAAAAAAAAGAGAGAGAACTCGTGTCTATCGGAAGTGAAAAAAAAGCTCGTTCGAGTATCTCTTTCAATAAGCGCGGCGATCCGTTGCTCTATCTCTTTTGCTCCTGACCTTTTATTACGGAGCTTTCGTTCTCTTGCGAAGGGGTAGTGTGAGATCGAGCGAGTGCAGCTCGAGGGTGAAGATCCTTAGGGCGGTTGAGGGAGAAAGAAGGATAAAGAGAGGAAAAACGGAGATGGCCGCTTTATAGGTTCGAAAAACTAGGGGGATAGAGAGAGAGAGAGAGAGAGAGAGAGAGAGAGAGAGAGAGAGAGAGAGAAGCGTGACAAAAAAGTCAGGCGTGCGTTGCGCGGAACGAGCAAATGAGTACGTGCGTGTTAGAGTACGCACGTGACGTTTCTTCAAAATTTATAATATCGGCGTTGAAGCGATTAGCAACAACCGAGATGCTAGGTGGCTATAGACCATAAGTCAAACGAAAACGTCACTCGCGTGGTATAAATGTAGCGTTTATCTCGGTTAATTCGCGCATTCGATGATCGTGGATTTTGAATAAAATGTAACGGCTATCGTAGAGCTTTGTTAAAAAGTATGACTAGCTAATGTGATATCTCTATAAAAATAGAGGGCGAGACCGTGCTACTGAAGCTTTCAATTCACCGCGAAACATAAAGAACAGCGTACTCCCTCTCTTTCTCTCTTTACTCCAAGATAAAATGGACTTTCAATATCAGGGCTCGAGAATAGCTAATACGAAGAAGCATGAATAACAGCGTAAAGGAGGAGTAAGGGAGATTTCTCGCAAGAAAGCAAGTCGAAACACGCGATCGTCGTCGTCGTCTCCAGGGATATATTAGCTATTTTCTGTCCGAAGGGTGAGCGCGCCTTTCAAAAATATTCGTTGCTGGAGAGAGATCGACAAATTATTCCGCACTTGGCACAGCCACTCGATCGAATGTCGCTTACTGTGACAAACTCCCCTTTTTTTACGGGGTAGTACGTCGCTTGTCGAAGGGACTTTTTTCAGGGGAGAGAGGCAGACTGGACACTACACCAAGTACGGATCGAAGAATAATTGGACACTCGGTGTATGTGGGGAATCAAATCTGTTGCCATCATTATTGGCCGGTGAACAGCAGGTTTTTATGTTGACAGGCAACTTTTTTTTCCTTGTAATGTGTGGCCGGCTACTTGTTAACTGAGTCCTATTGAAATTGCGAAACTCCAGATTGTTGATGTCTTCTTTGAAAAGTTTAAGCGTCGATGTAACATATTTTTCATGAAATTTAGTACTCGAGAAAATGTATGTCAGCCAGTTGGAAAATACAATAAGGCAGAAAAGAAAAGTTTTAAAAAGTTGTAAGAAAAGTTAAGACAACCATGGAAAACGTGTAGGTTTAGTTGTAAAACTCCTTTTTTTCCTCTTTAAAGTTAGTTTAAAGAGGGTCAAACTTCTCTCAGTTCACGTAGACCGTATATCCATCGCGTACGACACAAAGTAGGAAATTATCGAATGCGATGAAAGATACATTAACCGTTCTTTTATCATACTAACTTTTGAATTTAAATCGCCCCATCTTTTTCCCGCGTTCGTTTTTTTTTTCTTTATCAAGGTATACACGGTTTCATCTTTATTTAAACTTTTCCTCTTATCTTAATTTAAACTTCACTGTTTTCGAAATTCCAATCTCCTCGGTGGGTCATAAATAAGCTTATGTTTCAAACATTTATTCCGCAGATCGCTGGATATTTTGTATACAACAATACCACGATAAAAATAAAAATAAGCAATTACTTTTATAGAAAAAATCTTTTCATAAGTCGTTTATATTAAAAGATATAAAATACAAATGATCTTAATGTTAACTTTGTTATCCACGTTGCTGTTACAAAATATGTTCGTTACGATCTCGTGAAAAAAGGAACTCGATAAACCACAACAAAATAATTAATTTAAAAAAAAAGGAATGAATTTTGAAACATCGGAAAAATTATGTCAACGTATTTGATATTTAGTTATTTTCACTCGGGGATCAATTTTAAAACGAAACGTCACAGAAAAGTTCTAAAATTCAGATCACGTCTTTCCATACATTTCAGAAAAAGTCTGACATGCTGCAGCTACTCAGCAGCCGGGACAACTGGAGTGACAGGCAGTTCAATCCTGGTAAAAGTTGACAATCGTCCTGGTAGTGCGAATTCCGGGAGTTATGCGACGATAGCTGACCTCGAGCCACTGTATGCCAGGCCATGTTCCCGCGCGAGTTACTACGCTGCTACCCACGTGACCCATTTGAGTCAGGTAAGTCGGAGATGTACTGCAACCCGAAGTCAAAGAGAGAATTTGAAATCGTCCGAGTCGCCGAAGGCGAATCTTGATTTAGCTTCTTTACTTCCTTTTTCTTGTGGAAAGATGAGAACGTTGACAGCTTTGAGGAGAATATTGAACTTTTAAGTGAAGGGTATTATTCAAAAATGTGGAAAAATGCGTAATCATTGCTATTGCTACTAGGTGAAATCAAGTTTACTTAATAACAAAACAATCCTTTTAGAAAACATTGTAATAAGTTTTAAAAAGAACTAAATTTGAAGAAGAACTCAATTGCAAAAATATTGTGTAAATAAAACTACAATCGACGCGTTTCATCTCTTGCAACGTTGCACATCTCTACACATCTACAAATTTCACACAAACCGCACGAAAATCACAACGAGATTAATGCTCGGCTTCGGGGATTTCGACCTGTCTGGCGTTCTCTCGGCATTGTTTCTCGTGCGTCTCGCCGTTTCCCCGAAGCGACAATAAAAGCGCGTGCGGCGACGCTTTGCATGTGTGCCGAAAAAAAAGCGAACAGCAGCGGCGTTTTCCAGGGTCGGGAGAAAAAATACAGCGAGGGAGGCATTGCCCGAGAAAAAGAGAGTAAAAAAAAAAGAGGAGGCGAAAAAGGGAGGATGCTACCGCTAGCCGATGTAATCTTTCTAATCGACGTCGGCCAGCCAAGAGGCAAGCTCAAATCGGTTTTATTGAATACGGGGTGATGTGCCTGCGAAGCGCAGTTTTGGCTTTTCAGCTCTTTCGGAAAAAAAACCTTTTGTTGCTTCCCGCACGATTCTTGATTCTTTTTTCGTTCGCGTTAGATAAACTATGCTATGCTCGTATATACGATAAAACTTGTGCACGGCATTGGCTGGATCTGAACGAGTCTCTTCTGTTGAGTTCACTCGCATTTGAGAGGTAAAACCGTTGTATTCAAAAGTTCAGCTCCGACCGTAGCCGCTACTTTCGTGTATTTGTATGTTTTGAATTTACATTGAATCATTTTATTGCGTGGTCAATAGATGGATATGGCATATTTATCGATTCATTAGATAAACGATAAAATATACTCTTACTTTTTCATTGTATCGTGTAATAACGGATATTACTTACAATCAGAATGCATTGTTGTGTATCAATCTAACTTCAGAACAAGGATTAGCAAATATAATCAAATATTCGGAATGAATTATAAGGAAAAGCGAATTAAAAGCAACATTTAGCTTTCTCGAAAGAAAATAGTATCAAAAGTCAATACTTCATTCGAGTCTAAGACTCGATCCGCCCACAGAAACAATCGTAAGAAAACGACTTCGCTTCTAAAATAAAGTCCAACAAAGGCATTTTCTAAACAAAAGCAAGTCCAAAAAAAGGTCCAGCACGCAAGTAACAAAATGCCGAACAGACTGTTATTACTCGAAATTGCGGGGTCAACCATATCACTGGGGTAGTTGAAAAGCGGTGAAAGCCGGTAGGAAAGTTGTCATTGGTTAAGCCTTTCCCTTCTCTCTCTTTCCTCCAACAACTCGATAAAGTTTCAGCCGCGTGGAGAGAGAGAGAGAGAGAGAGAGAGAGAGAGAGAGAGACAATGGGTTCGATGATAAGGAGAATCCAGAAAAAGCAAAAATTGTGCTGAGCTCCGGCGGCTACTCGGCAATTAGCGCGCAATCTTTCAATGGTCAATATTTGGCTCGCACGAACTCGATTCACCCCAACGCAGATGGCTTTCTATATATATGTGGATCGCACGAGAGAGTTCGAAATTAGTTGCGATATGTTTGCTTCGCTGTAGGATGCGTTGCCGTTGTTTGGGCTATATCGCCGATGTATAGTCGGCACTGCAGTTCGTTTGTCCGTTCGGAATAGAACGCATGTTTTGCGAAAAAAAAAAATCATGAAAATGAACCAATTTAACTCTACTGCGAAAAAAGAAATAAACAATTGTACTTTGATAAAGTGTGCATGTAGTAGTATAAGTAATAAAGTGTATAATTCATTGTTTATCGATAAATTTTTCACATTGGTTCGTGATATTACCGCTTGAATCGCTGTCGTCTACGCAAGCATGAAATTTTTATATTTTGAAGTAATAAAAGTTGCACATTTATACAAAAATCAATTGAAAAATCTTTTGATTAAAGATTCTTGTCTAGTATTACTATTTTCTGGTCAATATACTTTAATTCCTTAATTATTTCAATCTAAATAAAATCAACTTGATTTCATACGATGACTCAGGGAAATACTTCAACTTTATTTTTTACCCCGTTGAACGAACCTCTCCAAATATTTCAAAGCCAGGACAGATAAAAGCAGTATAACGTGAAAAATTTACATGGGAATGTCCCTCTAAACGTAATCTGCAATCTCCACTTCATTGCACGAATGGCCAGTGTTGCGCGCGTAAAAGTGCGAAATCGAGAAACAACGAAATCGTGTGCGTATCGTCTGACCCCCGTATAACGTTTATCTATAGAAAAGCCATGGCTATAAAAGTGACTTGGGTAACAAAAGGAAGAAGTCCGAGTAGATAGAGACATGCATGATAGCTTCGGGAAGAAAGCGATGAAGGGAGGAAAAAAAAACAACAGAGGCCATCAGCGAGGAAAGGAACTCCTCTGTTGGGAGAAAAAGAAAGTCGCGGGGTTACAAGAAAATCGGATTGGCGCGCGTGACTCCCGACTCGTTTCGCTTAACTAGGTGTCCAACGTGTACATGTGTGTGTATGTGTGTGTGTGTGTGGGCAGGTAATCTCGAATGAGAGCAGGAGGATATGAGGATTTTATTTTCAGCGGCTGCGGTTGCGCGCGCGAGCGGGATCTCGAATGATACGTGACCGAACTGTTGCGCGACGCTCGCAATTTTCGTCGTCGCTCGTCGTCTACGGGACGTACGTACTGCCAACCGGCACTCAGACTTGATGGCGATCATTAGGAAATTACTTGGCGATATTGTGAGATTTTCAAAATACTTTTATTTATTTATTTATTTTTTGTTGTTGTTTTTCACTCTTTCTGTACTTGTCATTGCTTCTTCTGGACGTTTTATTTTTACGAAAATGTGTCCAAGCAAGTTGAGCGAAAGCCATATAATCCATAATGATATTTTATATTGATGAATGGTAAATTCAATATGTACACTGATAATTTAATTTATACTACACGCAGCGTTTATGTAAATAATAATGACTTTGTTATACCATATCTACGTTTGATAATCGAGAAAAATTCAAAAGATTTTGTTAATATGCACGTACATACTATTTTAATTGGTGTTGTACTCCACGGACGAGTACCATCAGCTTGATTACGAACGTTAAAGAGTTACAACTTTCGACGACCAATCGAGAAAAAGTTAAAAGCATAAATGTTAAAATTCAATCGAAACCATAAGTTTTCAAACTGCTGATCGTAAGCAAAGCTCTGAGTGCTTTTAAAAGCAAGCAACGAGATTATCACGCCAAATAAAGCTAATTTCTCACGTAACAGAAGTAATAATTACCGAAGAGCAATGGCAAATAAAAGCGAAATCAACTCGGCAAAATCCAAAGTGTAATTTCGTAATTCCAATTCTGCGATAACTCTGGATGCGCGGAAAATCAGCCCGAACTTCACAGTCGCTCGCTAAGTTACTTTGGCAAAAGCTGCGTGATAATTAACAGCAGCGAGGGGCAACCAAGAGATAACGAGATACACAGTCGTATCTGATAATTAGGAAAATAACGTTATAGTCGTCTCTTTCATCCTCGAAACGGGAAAAAATAAAAGAAGTAATTTCCCAGCGAGAGAAACTTTCAATACACGCATCAGTCCCCTTGAAAAGCTCGCAATAAGAAGTGACGTAATAACGTCGAGAGAGTGAGTGGGGAAATTGTCAAGCGTATCGTTTTACGCGGCAGCAAACAGCCTTTTGCGCCGAAAACGCTTCCCTTTCTCCTCGGCCTGTAGCTTTCCGGCCCTCCTCGTCGTCGGCATATGTATATATAAAGGTACTGCATGTAATATTAACGTTAGTAGCTTTGCGCACGGCGGCTGCTCGGATGCTGCCGGTGACAAACTTAATCGCAATGTTCTTGTGACAGAATCTTAGCGCGAAGGCCTAACGATGTTACTCGTTTCAGAGGCTTTGAATGAGCTCGCCTTCGAGTTTCGATGAGCGTTGCAAAAAGATATTTAGCCAAGATGAAAATCAATTGTTTTCAATATTTGGCAATAGACGGTTGTTGTATTTGTAATGAAGGTTATCAAAAACGTTATGATCGGAATATTTAGATAGCACTGCTACTCGTCAGTAAGCGTCTTATGATTTTGATACTTTTTCTTGTATCTGTAGAAGTAATGCTCTTTATCCGCTCGGCTTACAAAATTTATTATAAAATTATACGCAAATTAAAAATATCGTAAAGATAAAATATTGTATTGGATTCTTGTCAATACTTCAGTATGAACAATATCCATTCGTTCAACCATTCTCGAACTAATTTGAACATTTTCATTGGCTCGTAATATCGTCAAGGCTAACAGTATTTCGAACGTATATAGTAATTACAAAAAAATAAACCTCAATAGAAAAAGTGACAGTACCATACAAACAAATAGCTAAAAGAGACCCAAGTAATCAAAGGCCGCATCACCATAAATATACAACAAAATGGTATTCCAGGAAACACAATCTTCAAATAAATTATTACGTTCGTTCATGTGGGAAAATATCGAATACTCTCTCTCTCTCTCTCTCTCTCTCTCTCTCTCTCTCTCTCTCTCTCTCTCTCTCTCTCTCTCTCTCTCTCTTTCTGACTATCACATTAACTTGGCCAAAATCACGATTACAAGAGGGAGGGAGAGAGAGAAAGAGCGACACCCTCTCAAGCGAAATACGTCTCGTTCCATCCCTCCGTCCTCTGGCGTCGAGCGTTCTCAGGTTTCCCCGATTCTGTCTGGCAAAAGCAAGGCGCGACGGCGGCCTCGTTGTCAAGCACCCGGAGG